CGGATATTGTGCACAAATACAAACACAGTTCTTTTGATGTAAGATTATTTGCATCAAGATTGTGATTAAAAAAGTTCGTTAGCAACCAGCACTTTGATGAAGATTCCGTGATTCCTAGTGAATTTGTGATTAATTGCGATATGGAGAGTTACAAGCTTCCTTCATAAACAAAACAACAATTTGGTGAATAGAATCATCTATCATCGACAATTGAAAAACCGGATACAAAATATCACCGTGTTATACAAACAAAACGCCTCGGTAGCAAAAATGAAACCATTATAATTCTGTTTCCCGTTACCGTAACTCCATTTGAAGTTTACCTAAGGAACCTTCTTGATTATTTATACCAATCCAGATACTTATATACATAGAACAAAATTAAATTTACCGTCAAGGTTTTCTTAAACTTTGTTAGGTAGGAGATCACCTCAGAAAACTCGTAGGACGCATCTTACTTAGATTTATGTCACATTCATAAGGTCGAAATCAGACTTTCAAATACAGAGGATTCTAAAAATTCATGAAAGAAATACATAAATGATTTCTTCGATTTGGTATCGTCGATTCGGTGAAGAAAAGTAATAGCAAAGCTCTTCTTAACGACAACAATAAATCAAATCCATACCGGCGAGACAAAGAGTGGGGTCAATGATAAATTATTATCATATATGGTTTTTGTAAGATTACGAATAATATACAAAATAGGGAAACAACGTGTAAATTCTTTTCTCAGCGAGTTTTATCTTATTCTGCAAGTATTTTGTTAGACGAGATGTCAGTCAAAATTATGATCACAGACCTACCGTCGCACTGAAGTTGAATGCCAGGCAAACCAGCAGACTAGCGATAGATAACTCTAATTTAACATTTTCTGCTGAAGGACTTTGATATAAGCTGTACTGCACTATGGATTTACTGAGGTAGATGAAGTCTTTTGAATCTAAACCTATTATTCTTTTATCGCACCCACTGGGTAAGCATTGTCTGATTTCCCAGGCAGCTCATTTTTATGTATGACTCCCAGAACTAAAGTCTATGTGTCTGTTTGACAGGCATGGCCCAATTTTTTTTATATTCATATTCGTAGCTTTTTGTCAGAGTAACATAATCCATAATCCGCATATCTGGGAACTGCAAAGTCAATCTACTTGACACCATTTTTTTAACTCGCCGTAGATATTCGGGTAAATATGTTTTTCCAGTAAAATATATTATTTAAAGCTAGTATTTTTATAACCTTGGTGCCAGCTAATTCATCGGTGGCTGAGGGGCTTTGCTAGCGAGGAATAAGCAAGGAGACATGACTGCGACTTGGAATAAATAAATACTAAGAATCGGGAACCGCTTTCAACTCCCCCGTATAGCATAAAGCTTGGACAGCCATCCACATGTTTGAAGGAAAGAACTTATCGCCGTACTTCTTAAACAGACATATCTAATATTTACCCAACAATTAAGTCTAACCCATTTCGTAAAATTAAATACGTTGAAGATAACTGCGATAAAGCTGATAACAGCATAAGCACATGAACAAGGAGGAAGGAAAGGACGTGCAGATATTGGTACTGTAGTTGCTATACTTTGTATTAGACATAAGAGAATCTTCGAAGCTTCTGTCTAGCCATGTTGGGTCTAAACACATTGGAAGCGTTCAGCCAATGTAAGGTGGTTCAGCGCTTGATGTCGATCTACAGTTAGCTCTGAAATTTTCCTGGGTCATCGCTTTAGTCTATAGTATTCATACTAACTTGTGATTCCATAGAGATCATAGAGATGGAAGAAGGAATGACATTCAAGAGTGAGGCCACAGTGGTGGTAGACTAAGCGGAAAGAGGCATACCAGATGCTAGGATAATATATCCCAGTGAGCAAACGTATAGTTCGCCTACCATAAACCAATGCATAAAATATATTCGATTGATCTTAATTAAGGCCCGTATCGTCAGTCGTCCCTACAATTGTAGGGCGCCTTTATGGCCTCCTTGATTGTCATAGTTTTCTACTTCTTCGTGTCAGCGCTCTATTTTGAGGTTATGTCACAAACATCTATTTGCATCAAATTAAGCTTGCTTTTAAGTTATATCATGTTTTATCAGCCTGACATTTCCTACAATGTAAAAAGAAAACAAATATTCACAATAGGAGAGCGCTGACGCTGACACGGGACAAGTGTAATCTAGACATTTTTGAAGGAGAGAAAGGAGTATGACAATCAAGGAGGCCATAAACGCGACCTACAATTGTAGGGACGACTGACGATACAGGCCTAAAGAGTGTCACGTGCCAAAATCACGTAACCTTTTTTTCTATTTATCACTTATCAGTAATTTGAATTTCTCTTCATTGATAATAGAAGGTGCCATGTAGGCATTGCCCCCACATTTGAATCCAATAAAATCAAAAAGTCTGAAAATTTCAATAAGCAATAATAAATGTATAAAGATCTATGAAATGATATTTTACCTGTTCACATCAGGGTTTTTTCAAGGGGATGGCTTAAAATTTGCAAAACTGCAACGATACAACTGTCTGGAAGAGAAAAGATGATGATTTTCTTCTGTTTCTATTGACAAAAAGAAAGCAGATATTGAACGAACATCAGCAGGACACGCATTAAGGCACGATGTCCGAAGGTATATAAAAAAAGACACCGCTGAGGGTCAAAATCCCATTCAAAAAATGGAACACGTAGCACCCAAACCAAAATAACTAAACTTAAGTTACACAACAACAAAAAAAGGGTGCTAGTCCATGAATGAGCGGTTGGGGCCTAATATCCCAGACAACGAACCCCTGCACCACGACCTTAACGGAAACTGAAAAGCGAATCACGCAGAATACGTAACGTTCTAGAGGAAGGAATCTTCAGTGGCCTTGAAGAAGATATGTTTTATAGGAAACCAGCTAACGGAGAAAGACTTCAGAGTTTTTTTGCTGATCGTGAACACCATACTGAATCGCTGAGAAAGAAAGATATAATACGAGTGAAATTACACAATGAATAAACTATTAAATTTGCAAAAAGAAAATCATTGAAACGGGGTTTGGCCTAGGAATGGGCACTCTATTATTAATAAAGAGAAATTCAAATTACTGATAAGTGATAAATAGAAAAAAAAACGGTTACGTGATTTTGGCACGTGACAAGAGTTGTAACAGGTAATTGGCGCAAGCCGTTTTAAGAAGGATCCACTGTGGAACTTACGAAATATGCAGAAGTCTGTAAGATCCTAAGGCTGGAATATTTACAGTTAGCACTCTTGACGTAAATCCAATATGAGCAAAAAACTGTGCACAAATAGACGGGAAATCTGATTAATGCCACGTTCCACTGGTTTGCCAAACTGGTTTTCATCCTCATCGCATAGATGTAGACGATTAGACGACATAGAGACCCTTACATCCGCTAGTCCATAACCGCTCGACGTCCTGCGATTTTATGCTATGAGGCAGAGGACGTAAGAGCCTCACCTTATTTCCGTTTCTCTGTCTCCAAGATTAGACCTAAGACCTATGTCGCATTGATAAGTTACAGAAACGGAAAGCAAACAAAACCATTTTTTCAGATCAGCAAAAAAAATGAAAAAAATGATCAAAAAGGGCTTCCAAATGACATTTTACTTTTTCTGATCAGTGTGCGCGTTTGGAGAGGAATCCTTCTGGATGCTGTCCCGTGCTGTCTCTCTTACATGTTTTATGTGCCGCCATTACTTTTCGAATCCATTTTCTATATAGGAATCTTATAATGTTTTCAATGAAAAACTTACTTCGTTCAAAAAGAAATGTCAAAATGCAAAAACAGCATATCAAGTTGTTAAATGGAATGAGAATGTCGGCGTCTTCTGGAATTATGTGATTATTACTTTCTTTAAAAGTTGAATGGTTTTGAATTTATTTGAAGAAATGTTTCAAAAGTAATTTTCATCGACTACAAGATCCTAATGATCAACTTTTAACTCCATATGAAATGTGAAATTTATTGAGATAAATTTATATTTGGAATCCAAGTGTCCCGCTGTTATCGACTGATTTTGTCTTTCAGAAGGAACTAAATTGGATGTGGGTCAAATCCACACATACGTCGCATATGAATAATGACTAGCATCCCATTCCCGGACTGGGAGGACGTTAAACAAGGGATTGGTTTCCAAGTTTTTTCGAGTGAAACATCCATGCGGTTCAATAGATAAGAAGCTTAACCTGATAAGATAAAAGTATCAATTTGTGGGAACCATAATGTTTGATACTATACGGTGATTCACTCGCTATTATCCAACAAATGAAGTGCTCATGAAATTCTGTTAGTCCGGGATCTCATAAACCAAAAGGTGCCCCATTATAAATAAAAAAAAAGTTGAAATGTGTTTCTGATGTTTAGATATTTCTGATGTTTAGATATTCCATCTTTTTTTTTACTTTAGGCTCAAAAACGGTTGCATCAGTTGTGTATGGAAGAACTATGGGACGTCTAAACGTACTGTTAATTCGATTTAAATGTCCACCATTGAGGCAGTGGAATTTCGTGATTCATGGGACACCGTGCAGTAGGTTGATTGTTGTAAGGAATACAAAAATATTTCTGCAATTTCCCATATACCATTTTATCCGTTGTTCTGACTACGTGATAAATGTGTAAAATAATCACTATGCTAGCGATATGTTTGCTTTAATTCGCACTAGATATTAGCTCGTCGTAAAGCCCACTCGCAGTGAACGCCACCTATGGAGGAACAGGACAACGACCGTTATTTGCCTAAAATGCTACAGCATACAGCTTAGCATAGCGTCATAACTGAAGCGGGTGTTACATTAAGTAAAACACATCACACCGATATCACGCTTAGGCAAGGCACACGGCTACTACCCAATGAACTGTCAACACTGATGGAATCGCCCCGTCTCATTTGTACAATGAAACGATAATGCGGCCAACATACGACAAAGAGGCCCGAGAGAGAGATGGAGCTAGTCAGGGCAAAAGGCGCGCGGACTTGAATGAATTGCATAGGAAACCGAGGATTCTTAGAGAAGATTGAAAAGTTATTCAGGCAACTGGAACGAGATAAAATCCTGGAAACGTAATTATAATTAAAAAACCAAGTTTATTTATTTATATATACATATGTATGAAACTTGACAATAAATTCTCCTTTGCACATTTGAAGATATAATAATTAGTATTTAACATAAGTTATTAATAATTCAGGTAATACTATTAACTGAGCTGCAGATATTCTCTTCTCCTTAAGTAGTGCATCTACCAGACTATTCAGACTTTTTATTTTATTTCTTTGTCTACGAATTTTACACTGATTGTACTTTTTTTTGTACTTATGAACAGTTTCATGAGCAGTTTTCCAAAATGTCTTCTGACGCTGTACATTATTTAAATCAGAAATTTTGAAATCCCTAAAGTATACTGGTGATCTTCTGACCCTACAAACAAAAAGAGGTTGTAACAAATGAGAAACACAAAGTTCAATGACAATTACCTGAAATTGCATATGTTTGAATGTTCACTTGATTCTAAAAATCCTAGCTTTTATGTTATGTTTGACGTACCAGCTGCCAATATATTTCCATCATCAGCATGATCACCATTTTCAGGTTCTTCTACTACTTCACCAATAGCCAAAGTTTGTTCTAAAAATAATTACGATACTAAGACCCACTTCATCATTGTAAATATCTTTTTTAAAAGTAGAAAAGTTAAAACCTTAAGCCTAGACTGGGAATATTTTAAAGAACATACCTGTTGCTTTTGGGTAGGATTCTTCATGTTTTCTTTTCAAAACCCTTCGATGGCTAGGTTCTTTCTTGAGATAGGCTGGAAAATCAAACACAGATGGAACTGCCACCTTTTTTAGTACCTTATTTCCATGAACACTAACTTCATAATCCTCTGGAGTGAAATGCTTTTCACAAATTACCGTTGTTGTACTGGGAGTAAAGTTTTCTCTTCTTATAGCATGTAACCTCAACTTCCTCATGTTAGGATCTCTAGGTATCCTAAAAATCCAGATATTTCCTCGAATTACCAATTAACAGGTAATTCTCACACAAAGAGATGATTAAAACCAACCTGTGAAACTTCATTTTCACATCTTTTCTGCGTCTACTGCAACAATTCACCGCACTGCAAGATTCAACCATTTTTAAACAAATATCACATAAAACAACAGCTCTTGAAGGCTGTCCGGCATAAAAATGTTTATAATAATTGTCGCAAACTATTACTATTAATCTTTAACGTCACTAAAAACAAACATTCACCAAAAATCCTTAGAACATATTATATGGAAATACCACAATGGACCACGATGTTTTGCCAATGTTTTGCCCTGACTAGCGCTATCCTTCTCGTTTCTCATTCTAGCCGCAATGAATTCGCGTTCCGCCTGTTCCATCAGTGTTGACAGTTCATTGCTACTACCACAAAACATAGACAATACGATTGATATTTGTCGCCAAGTTTTTGTGTTGGATTGAACGTATGTCGCAATAACCGTTTCGAGATGCGACGTACGGCCTTACGTTATGTCAGCTGTCACTTCTTGCCATTACTATCACTGCCCCTGTTTGTTTATCGGTGAGTTTTTTCTGAAAAACATAAATTGGGCATACAAGTATTTCAACAAATATGAAAGTTTGTTATAATCAGATACTATGGAACAAAGGGAAATCCTTTATGCAGATAGAAGTACACATTGAAGTGTACCTTTGCGCAACACATTTGATATCAAGCACCTCTCAATGGTGGTTTGTAGAACGTTTCAATAGTCATAGTCATAAGGATAGAGATAAGCATGAGCATAATCACAATCACAAGTTTGGCGTGAGTTTATATAACTGTCTTAATTGTAGTCATAAGCTTCTACCTTTGTGATTTCGACACATGACAGCCTCCTGGCCCCCCATTGTTGGTCAATTCTATGCACGATAGAAACAAAAAAAAAACGAAAATCGAATAAGCAACAGCACAAAACACCGAAAACCCCCACAAAATATTAACACAAAGAGAACCACGTTGGAAGTTCTGATACATAGACTTTTTAAAATGACGTTTATGGTATAAAAAAAGTTACGAACTTTAAGGCCATCCCACTATGAGTAGGCTTATGACTATTAGTCTGATCATATTAGCAAATTTCCCCGAAATAATTGTTAAGGTCTGATTTTATTGGTGCAATTTGTTCACAGGGGTATTCAAAACATGGACGAATAAAATGAATACACCAATTTTTGTCGGAAAACTTCTTATTTGACAACAAATGATGAGAAAGCTTGTTTTTGGAATTCAATTGAAAGTGTTAACAGGAACGAAAAAACTTTTTAAATAAGATTTTTAGGTATTTATGAGACCTACAAAATGAGACCACACGTAAAAAGATCCGACTAATAGTAAAAATTTTATGCTCGAAAAACGAGGCAATATGCAGGTTTTGGCACTTGTTGGCAGTGAGATAATTTCACGCAACTACTTGAAATTCTTCAAATCTATAGGTTTCACACTTCTAAATAACAACAACAAAATTGGAGTATATTGGTCAAGTAGATTTTTGAGAATTTATAATTGTTTATCCCAAAACACAAGTTTTCCAGCCATCACTACTAGTTTATTGAGCAATATACAGGGTTCGTTCAAAGAGAATTTAATAGCAAAATACACGCGTTCACCTTGCTGATATTAATCACAAACCATTTCGAAAGATAAGTGTTATTTTTATGCGAAAAACAAAGGTTACGTTTTTTTCTTCTAAACAAATTCAAACATTTCGTATTTGTGAGTAATTGCACAAATGCGCTACGATATTCGAAATAAATACGTTACTACAGTGGACCACCGGTAATCCGACAAACATTATGCAGGGCAGTGTCGGACTATCGAATTTGTCGGATTATACAGCACTGCCTAAGACCCCCATAGTCCGCAATTTTTTACAAAAGAGTACCTTGTAATCCGACAAATTAATATCCAATGGTAAGATTATATATGTTATGAAGTACAAATCATACATAGTTTATGTATGTCGAATTTAGTAAATTAAATAACAATAGAGAGCTTACGTTTTATTATAAAATTAAGCATAAATGCACATACATATGTACCAAAATAATCAAGAATTATTAATGAAAATCATTAATGAATTTATAAAATTATGAAGCTTGGAAATATTCATCAATTTTTTTTTTGTTTAAGGTTGTTATAACGCGAGATCAGAGCTTTGTCAATCAGTCTTCTCAAAAGTAAAAGTTCGTTGTAGGATGTACCATTCTCTTCAGCCCATTGTAAACCTAGCTCAAAGGCGTTAATTGTGTCTTGTGCTGTGACTTGTGGAGCAGTTGCAATCACGTCGTCGTTATTTTCCTGATTGTTTGTTGTATAATTAGAAACCTCTTTTATAATCTCTTCGTCAGACATTTCATGAAAAACATTTTCCTCTTTATCCATTCCACGGCACCAGATTTCCAAATCTTCCGGACTTATCTTTGTTTCGGTAGCGACTTGTTCTATAACTTCCGAAGTAACACTGATTTGTGGAACGTTACTAGGAGTGGTGACTATATCTGGCCACAACTTTATCCAAGACGATTTAATAGTTGACGACGGTAACGCATTCCACGACTGACAAAGAGCAAAATCAAGTCTTTCATATTAAATTCTTTTAAAGTTTTTTCTATTGGTTGGTCTTTTGATACGGCTCTCAGAAGTAGGTTTTTCTTATAGCCTTGCTTGACAAACTAAATGATATTCTGGTCCATTGGTTGAATCAGTGCAGTGCAATTTGGCGGAAGAAACATCGCAGTGATGCATTTATCCTCAGTTGTTAGTTCTTCTTCAGACGGATGACAGGGAGCGTTATCAAGAAGCAACAACGCTTTTTGAGGAAAATTATGATCTTTTAACCATTTTCTAACTTCAGGTACGAAGCATTCATCTAACCACTTTTTGAAAGGGTCTTTTGTCCTCCATGCACTTTTTTGTCCGTAAATCAATGTTTTTGAATGCCCGTGGTTTATTAGATTTCCCAATGACCATCATCTTAAGCGCGTGTGTGCCCGCAGCGTTAGCACATGGTAGTATGGTTACACGCTCTTTACTTACTTCTCGTCCAGGTACGGATGTTTCGTTACAAGAGACAAAAGTTTTGTTAGGCATCACACGCCAAAAAAAGCCCTGATTCGTCTGCATTGGACACCTGTGACGGGACAAGACTTAAATCGTTCACCTTTTGCAAAAATCTTAATTTAAAGCGCTCTATGCAGGTGGCATCGTTAGAAAGTTTCTCTCCTGTAATAGTCATTAAACGTAAGTCATGACGACTTTTAAAACGTTCTAGCCATCCTTTGCTGACCACAAAATCATCTTTTTTTGTTATGTCCTTATAAAAGAACTTAGCTTTCATGGCCAACATGGGTCCTGAAATTGGTGCATGCCTATTTCTTTCCTGAAGAAACCACATGTACAAAGCTTCTTCCACTTGTGAATGTTCAGCTTTCTTGAGGGTCTGTCTCTTGCCTGGCCCGCAGTCAGTAGTTGACACGAACTTCTTGATCTTCTCGTCGTTTCTTTTAATGTCATAAATTGTAGATCGGCCTACGCCGTATTCACTTGCTAAACTACTGAAAGTTTCATTGCGATTTAAGCGGTCTAAAATATCACATTTTTCTTTAATTGTCAATGTTTTGTGCTTTCGCTTCTGAGTTTGTGATGAGATTACTAGGTACTATACTTACTACACAATGAATAAATAGTAAACAATCAACGCACGCTAGGCCGTACCGCTATCACCAGTAGTCAAATTCAAACTAAGTAAAACAATGCTGACGCGTAGAGCACGATAGCGCTGGCACGTACAAGTTGTAACCTGTTCAAACCTGCGTGATCTACATTAGCGAAGATTATCAAATACGTATGTATGTAATACATATTCAAAGACATGTCGGAGAACAGGGGGCGCCGTATTAGACAGGGGCCGGATTATCGGGGGTTCACTGTATACAGATTTTAAAACAAAGCGGATGTGTCATCATCTTTTGTTGCGAATTACTCGCAAATACGAAATGTTTGAATTGGTTTTTTTGCATAACAATATTTATCTTCCAGAATGGTTTGCGACTCATGTCGGCAAGGTAAACTAGTGAATATTGCTATAAAATGCCCTTTGAACTAACCCTGTATACTGCTCAATAAACTAGTAGTAATGGCCGGAAAACAGGTGTTTTGGAATGAGCAATTAGAAATTCTCAAAACTACTTGACCAATCTACTTCAATTTTGTTGTGGTTATTTAGAAGAACGAATTCAAAGAATTTAAATAATTTTATGTATATGCGAGAAACCATCGTTGCATTACCAACAAGTGCCAAAACCTGCAGTTTGCCTCCGTTTTCCGCCATAACTTTTTTGCTATCAGTCGGATCTTTTTACGTGTGGTCTCATTTTGTAGGTTTCATGACTACCCAAAAATCTTATATGAAGAGTTTTGCTGTTCCTACCAACAAGTTCGATTGAATTTTCATTAGTAGGACGAAATTTCAAAAAACTGTTTCAACATACTTCGTGGGGCTTCGAGAAACAATTGGGGTATGGATGTTTTTTGCAGTTTTTCTAATTTGTTTTCCTTGATAAATTATATTGTTTTGACTATAAAATGCTATGACAAAACGTCTAAAATGCTACTTTAGGACCAAACTTGTTGTTGTATGATTAACATTACTATAGGATGTATATAGAGGTCCGAAAAAAGGTGTACAGAGGTACGATAGTGTACGCTTTTGGCCTTAGGTTTAAATGTTTAGCTAGTAACTCAGAACGCGGACTGTTTTCGTCAAAACACGAACGTAAGTATTAAAAAATCAAAGACTAAGAATTCCGTAATAATCCGTATCTCTGCCGTTTCTTTATATACCACAACAACATTTTCTTAAGTTCTCTTGCAGTAATAAACATTCGATAAAACACTCCTTATTTATTTCAAATCTTCGATTTTTTGTATTTTTTTTTTCAAACTGTAATGCTGACATAATTAAACAAAATGACCGATGGCGCTGTCATTGGTGATAGTTATAACAGACGACACAGTCGATAACGACAATGGTGACAGCCGTGGAATCCAGGACAAAAAACGATGCCAAATTTCCTGTGTTGCATGTTACTAGGACTCAGTTGACCCCATATGGCTACGATAAATGGATCGTAGTTAGTACTTAGTAGGAACGAGGGCGATTACGAGATTACGAGTGTCATATTGCGTCTGACAATGATGATTCGCAGTTACGTAATAGGGGTGCCGGTACTCGAGCGACGCTACTATTTGAACTGAAAACATGAATGCTTCACTGAAGATCATTTCGGATATTTTTTTAATATTCCTTCTGACCCTCTGAAAAGAAATGTAGTATGAGCTTGAGATATGGAGTACGGCAT